AAATTTCTGGGGCTCCTGCCCAGGACTGTCCCATCTAGAGCCCCAGCAACCTCTTTAAGCCATGGTCCTGACCTCCATAAAATCACTTACCAACATGGAGAACATCCAGTCAGGGGCGCCCTGAACAAAGAATGAAGGTTGCTAGGCAGAGATGCGGCCAGTTAATGAACCATGCAAACACCAACTTGGGTAACAACATCCAAGACAGCTTCCAAGAACTATAAAGCCAGGTCCAAGTAAAACTCCCAAACTCATCTTTTAACATATTTCTAAGAGTTCAATTTGTCTATTCTTTAATAGTTTTTTTTTGTTGTTGCTTGAAGTGATGGGGACTGAACTAGGACCTTACACATGCTAGGCAGGTGCTTTACCAAATGAGCTATATCCCCAGCCCTAGTCATTTGCATTTCAGTTCCCAAAGACCTTTCACAGCAACTCTGCAAGGTAAGCATTGGCACCGGAGGTTTGGAGGGGTTAAGTGATTTGCCTGTTAAGACAGAATGTTTAAGTGGCAAAGCTGGGATTTTAGCCCAGATCTAGCCCTGCCTACAAGTCCTGGATCCTTCCTGTGATATCACAACTGAAGATGGTTTCAACTGAGTGGCTGAAAGTTTTCTTGGATTTCATTTTCCAAAAAGTCTAATTACTATTTGGGGAATTTCCGAATCTAATTTTTCTGAATGGAGCCACTCCTGGTCCAAGTGAAAAAGTCATTTCCAGTCTGAAGAATTCCAATCCTCTTGTAGCTTTACTCACTCACTGACCTAACTCAGTTACTTTTTCAAGGATTCATGTCCTCTTAACATTGCCCAGAAATATCATCACAGATTTCAAGATGGGGCACTAGGACAGGAAACTTTCCCAAAGGGAGGGAAATCAGTTCCTGTCTCTCTCTCTAGACCCATGCTGGAGATCACAGGATGAAGAATGAAAAGAAACTGAGGCTCAGACTTTCTAGTCAGGGAAGTCTGTTGAGCTCTTAGGAAGGGAATCTCTGCCTCCTTCTTCCATGCAAAAACTGGATGGACATGGGAACACTCAGATGCCACCTTCACAAAACCCAGGTGGAAGTTCCTCATTGTCAGCAAAACTCCAGAAATCCCTATTGTAGCCTGTCAGCCCAAGAGGAACAAATTGAGGAACCTTCCCTCCTGATGCAGCTAAAGGAAGCAGGGCATGCGGCAAAACTAGAAAATGTTGATTTCCACACATATTGTCTCTAACTTTCTCACTGCTTTGGAAACCCTAAGAGATTTTTGCCTCTAGATTCTTCTTGTAGGTCCAGAGGAACTACCCTGAACCAATCACTTGGGTAACCAGTCTAGCCTTCCACTATGAACACTCCTCAGGAAACATACTTAGAAGTTGCAAGGCATGTATCAACTGACACCCAGGGGAATCTTGAATCTGTTTCATCTGAGATCATGTTGATATACTCCAATTTGATATAATACCAACCTACTTCATCAACATTCTCTCTTCCTCTGTTCCATATCTCCAAGGGAGGTTTCCCCTGGTGCAGACAAAAAAGAATAACTGGTATCTAATAACCAGAGACAAAATGGAGTTCACACTTCCTATAAGACTGATGTCCAATGGCCATTTTCTGGTCCCATGACACTGTCCTAGATCTGGGGGGAAAGGAGGTGGTTGGGCTTCCTTAACTTCTTGCTGCCTGTTGGGTAACCCCTCTCAGGTCTCCAAATTCAGTCTACAACAATAGGGAATAACTCATTCTCAGAGGAAAAAGAGATGAGGCCAAGATTCATAACCAAGCAGCTTGGACACTGATTTCTCTGGATAGGGCAGGTGGAGGGAGTGGTGTTGAGGGAGAGCAGCTCTGCTCAGGGATCAGCTTGGCAGGTAGAGGGGGTAATGAACTGTGAACTGAAAAGAACGAAGGTGGGGAATGATCAGGATTATAGACAGAAAGAAACAAGCAATTCAAGGATATCTACTATGTGCCCCAAACTTTCATAAGTGTTTTCTCACTTAATCTTCAATAAAATTCTGTGATTTTAGCTCTAATTCACAGAAGAGGAAATTGGTTCAGCAAGGCCAGTGACTTCCTGAAGGCTAGTAGATGACAGAGCTGTTATTTAACCCGGGCCTTCTGACTTTGTACCTGAAGCCTAGAGAGTTAATCTTCAACAACTGGCTTCCCCGTGCCTCAGTGTCTCTGCCTGCAAAAATGAGGAAAGGAAATAGGGAAAAAAGATAAAGGATCAAAATGTAAGAGTAATAACGATACTTTCTAGATATGAAATATCATATCATAGTTTACGTAAGAATCAAGTTCAGAAAATGATTAACTTAAAAGGGCCCAGCTGCTAAAAGGTCCCAGAGTGCTAGTGCTCCACCTGCCTGTGGCTATCACCCTGGTCCTTGGTGGGAAGGAGAGGGTTAAAAGTAAAAGGACCTGGGAGAATTCTCCTAGGAGAAGACAAAAAGCCTATTTCTTTGTAATGGAAAATTGGGGGAAACCAGGTCTTTGGCCTAGAAAAGCCTTACTGTCCAGTCTTGAGGCTCAGACTTTCTAGCCAAGGGAGCTCACAGATAGAAGTACAGAATATGAGGAACTTGAGAGCCAATGTGAGGCGAGGTACAGGGCAGGGGAAACCCTCATGCAGTTCTTCACCCATTTTCCTTCTCCTCAGCTGGGATAGTTCTGGCTGAGAGGACAGCACTCTCTCTGGAACTGACCTGCACCTTCAAAGAAGCAGCCCTGAAGTGGGAGAAACAATGCCAGCAAAAAGCAGGGTCAGACCTCAGGATAAGGGCCTCCTTTTCCTACACCAGGGTCCAGCTGGGTAAGAGAGACCTACCAGCCTGCTCCTAAGGCTATCAGGGCTCACCAGTGTACTGTTGAAAGAGGTCAGATTACTGTGAATCACATGAGCTGCCTTCCAGATGTCCATGGCCACTGTATCCTCCTACCCACACTGGTACCAGGACCAGAAGCTGGGCTCAGCTTTGGGCCTGTACAACCAGGGTGGAGTGAATGGGCAGTAAAGAGGCCAAGAGACTAAAAGCAAGAATCAGAGGGAGTCCACACATAGACTGAAGGGGAAATTCTAAGCCAAGTTTCCACAAAACAATCAAAGGAGGGAATAGGGACTGGAACCTGGAACTAGGGCTAGAGGAGGTAGCCAGGCTGCCTTATAATCTAAGCACAGGGCTGCCTTTGCTTCCTGATCACTAAGGGCTGAGATAACCTACCAAGACCATGTCTAGCCCCAAATTTCCCTCAGAACTCCTTGGCACACCTATAATCCCAGCTACTCAGGAGGCAGAAGCTGGAGGATCACACATTCAAGGCCAGCCTAAGCAACTTAAGAAGACCCTATCTCAGAACAAAAAAAAAATTTAAGGGGTAGAAGCTGGGCATGTTGGTGAACACCTATAAATACTAGCTATTCTGGAGGTTGAGACTGATCTTCCAAGTTTGAGGTCATCCTGGGCAACTTGGCAAGACCCTGCCTCAAAATATAAAATAAAAAGGCCTGGGGAGGTGCTGGGGTTGTAGCTCAGTGGTAGAGCACTTGCCTTGCATGCGCGGGCCCTGGCTTTGATCCTCAGCACCACACAGAAATAAATGAATAAATATAAAGATTTTTTTTAAAGCCTGGGGGTATAGCTCAGTGGTAGAGTATGCCTGGGTTCAATCCCCAGTACCCCTGTATGGACCCCGCCAAAAATGTGTGTGTTGGATCCTTGGATGAGGCCCTGAGTTCAAACCCCAGTACCACAAGAACAAAACAAAACAAAACACCACTCCTTGGCAGAGGGCATAACTATATCTAACCCTCAATAACTTTTTCTCAAGAAACCCCCAAGTCAATTCCTTTTCCCCCTTGGGCTGCTAACGATTTGGTCCTTACTACTACCAATAATTCTTCTGGTCACCTGAAGTTACCCATCTAAACTCAGGGTCTGTCCAATCATGGTAGCTATTTATTTCCTTGATCCAGACAGACACATGGCCACAGGCACACACACACACACACACACACACACACACACACACACACACACACACAGAGCCTGCTGGGACAGGACACAGCCCCAGAGATAGGAAATGTATTCATTTACAGGTGGTGTGGCTTTGCTTCAGCAGTGGCTGTACCAACACGGATCCAGTCTCGGGCTCCTCTCTCTACCTTGGCAACCTCTCAAAAAGCCAGCCTGGAGAGGAAGGGTTAAGTGCCTGGGGACCCAGTGCAGACAGCGGCTGTTGAGCAGGGCAGCCTCCAGTCCATGGCACGGAGGGCTCTTCCAGCACGAGCCTGCCAGCCGCCGCCTTTGTTGATGGACTCTGCCACATGCTCGGCTGACACGCGATGCTCCGCCCTGGCGGGGCTGGTGCCAGGCTGCCGGCCAAGCACCCGGCAAAGCGCGCCCAGCCGGCGGCCAGTCTGGGGAGACTCTCCGAGGTACACTCTCCAGAGTCCCAGACCCGGGTTCCCAGACACAGACAGTGAGGAGTGGCTCCCCAGCTGGAAAGTGTCAGGTTTCAACCGGTTCCACTGCTTTCCCCCACTCAGGCCCCATCCCCTGGCCTGATTACCCGTTTCCTCAGCCAGGCACACACACAGCCCCCCCCACCCAACTGCCCAGTTTCACTGCAGCACCCTGAAAATCTTTCCCTCAGGTATATAAGAGACAAGCCCCCAACCCTCCCTGGAAAAGAGATAGTCTATCAAGTCACAGTGCAGAAAGCCATCCCATTGGCATGGACAGATCACAGCATCTCTCTGCTCTTCTGGATCATGCAAGAGCTGAGAGTATGCAGATAAACCAAATTAGGGCTCAGAGATGAGGGCAAGAGTGCTCATCCAGTCAGGCTCACCCAGTTCATAGGAATGACAATGGCTAAGGCCAAAACTCTGGAACATATCCTCCAGGCCTGGCAAAGACCAAGTTCCTGACAAGAGAACAGAGGCAGGCACTGGCCCCCAGCCCCAGTAGACTCATGACCCCTCCCCATCCCCCATGCCTACTTGCTGCATATGAAGCCGGTGGAACTGGTCTGCAATGCACTGAAGTTTTCGGGCGATCTGTACCTCTGCTCGATGTTGCCACTGACCTTCAGGGGGCTGCTCTCCAAGGGGCAAGCCTGCAGGGAAACTAGCAGGGAGAGGAAGCCGGTAGCCAGCATTGCCTGCAAAGAGAGAGGACCCACATCTCAGCATTCTCCAGTACTATCGCATCCTCCCCAAGCCTGCCCTTTCTGGCCGAGACTTGGGCTGAGGGTAAACCCTAGGATGAGAATAGAGAAGAACTGCCTGCCTTTATCAGGGAACTCTGCCAAGCTTGGACAGCCTGCCTTGCCTGCTGCCCAAGCACAGAAAAGTGACAGAGAGGATAGGGGTATAGTTCAGTGGTCCTTAGCTCATGGAGGCCCTGGTTCAATCCACTGCATGCACACACACACAATATGTTGATGCCAGGAGAAGAAAAACGAACGGTCCCAATCTTCTCTTTAGTTCTCCACTTCCTGTAAATGCCATGACATAGGGCAGGGTGGTAGTGTGTGTGAATGAACATGCCAACCTTCTGTCCTTATTTATCAAGCTACACTTGACCACAATTCATTAGTCATAGTAGCAGGTTGAAGCTCTTCAGAGCTCCTGGGCTGAACAAACCAAGATACACAGAGAAGAAAAAAAAAAAAAAAGTATTTTGCTTTTTTTCTTGATTTTTTTAGCGTAGTGGAAGAAAGCTCAGCTCAATATCTATAGCAGTGGGTGGTGACACAAAAGTGAGTCAGAGAAAACTCCTGAGGCCCTCAGAAGAGCCAAGTTCCTCTCTAGAAACAGCCTCAGGAGAGCCCTCTAGGCCAGAGCATGACACTCACCAAGTGCTGGCACTAGAGCCTCCACTAGGGGCGCCAGCCCAACTGCCTTCTCCCCCTTCTCCCTCTTCCCCAGCCACTGGCCTGATCCAACTTCTCAGGCTCCCTCCAGAATCGCTTTGCCAGAAGTGCCCTAACAGACAGTTTCTGGGAATAACTGCATAGCCTCCTTAATCTGCTTGGGCAGACACAGCAGGATGGCCTCTGAACCTTTACCCTCCCTCCACAAACCAGTGTACTAAAAGAAGAAAAAAGACTGAATAGTAACCCTGCCCTTTTGCCAGAGAAGGGCATAGTCCTCATAAAACAAACCATTTAGGCCCACAAATGAAGGGGTCTTGTCTGATTTAGCCTTGGAAACAGCCCCTCTGCTGGCACTGAGCCCAGGCAGGCCCAACCTCTTTCTCCAGTTCCCCTCCCAAGTACAGAAAGTCCCAAGTGACAACTGGAGGCCACCTTCTGCCTTCAAGAACCTTCCTCTACCACAACTGGCTGGGTTTTTTTCTTGAGTGTCAACAGCAAGTCACAGATCCCTCAAGGGCAGCATTAGCTACTTTATGGAAGGTGAATCACTGTCAGCATTTAAAAGGCTGTCACTCAAGTGTATAAAATATAAAAGGAGAAAGCACAAAAGAGCCAAAAGAAGGACAAAGCAATTTGCCTTTTGGGGAGCATGAACACAGGTGAGAAGCAATAACAAGCAGCAAGACAGAAGGTTGAAAGTCGAGGAATCAACAACCCCCACTCATCAGTTTGGGGAAGGAAATAGCAGAGGCCATGTTTGGGAAGGGAAAGTCCCCTCTTTTCCCCCAATATCTATGGGAGGAGCCCTGAGGCTAAGAGCACCTACCATAAAAGAGTCGCTGGGGTTCTTCAGTCACTCCACAAGGCAGCATGACACCCTGGCTTGGGGAGGCTGGGCTGAGGGTCTGAGTGGCCTTGTCTTCCTGGCTGGTAGGTCGAAGCCCAGGACCACAGCAGTGGGTGAGAGGGAAGAGCTGAAGCCTGCTGAGGGGGCAGTCCAGCTGGCTCTGGGCAAACAAGTCAGCAGAGAGCAAGCTCCCAGGCTGGGTCCCTGGCTCCCCATCCTCTGGCTGGAACACATCATCTTCCAGCTCCTCCACACACTGAGGCGGCTCCATCTCCTCTGTCAGGGAGCAAGGTAGTCATGTGAGATGCTGTCTCATCCAGTCCACACCTAGCAGGGCTTCCTCCCCCTTCTTCTTTTCCTGCTTCCCCTTCTCATTTGGGTGAGTTGGGCCAGATACTGATGACATGTACCACTGGTAATAAAGCATTGCCAAGAGTGACATCCACTCCCTTCATGTAGACTGCCTCAATGTTAGGGACCACCTGAGCCATTCCCCCAATCTCTCTGACCTAGGCTGGTCACAAAGTTTGACTCTGAGGGTTTAAGCAATAGCAGAGGTAGAATCAGGTACTGGCAGCATGCAGAATGCCTGGGAAAACATACATAATACTAGTTTCCATAAGTGACTATGGGAGCATAGAAGGGGCCATGACTCACCATACAAATAGTGCTCACAACTCACACACACACAACGACTACCCTAAAGAGTAACCTCCAAGATCTCATCTTAGTCTGAGTTGAGCTCCAGACTCAGCAGCAAAAACAAAAGCCAGCAATCCTGAGACAGGTTCCCTCCAAACCTGCTAAGTCCCCGCCCAACTGCCCATCCACACAAGTCTCCACCCCCTGCTTGCACAACACAACAAACAGGCTCTGCTGTGTGGTGAGTGTGTGTCCTGGGAGAGGAGATAAAGACCCAAGTTAGTCACTGCAGCTGCCCTCTCAGCTTTCCTGGAACAGAGAAGAGGTATTTGACCACCTTAGGCTGGCCTCTACGTTGGGTCCAGCCTCTGGCAAATTGTTCAGCCTCCCCCAGCTTAGTCTACTCACTAGTCTCTGCAACTTCAAATCCTCAGGAACAGCCTCCCATTCCTGCCTGTGCTGAACCTGAGATTGATGCAACGTGTCTCATAGAAGGAAGTGAAATTTGGCCCTCACTCTGTGACCTCACTCACTGCCTATACTATTTGGGTTGTTGATGTGAGTTTCTTGGTGATAAAGAAGTTCCTCTTGCTCCACCTGATGGCTCATGGAAGTCTGCCACCGAGCAGCTTGAGCTTCTGACCTAGCCCTCTACACACACACACACACACACACACACACACACACA